GGCTGAACCTATAACCGTGGAACCTTATAGAAAATACAAAGTACCATGCATGACACCTTTCAGAATCAGATTTGAACCCTTCCAGACCCGCAAGACTCCATATTTTCCCGACCATCTGAATCCCTTGTTGTCCAAAAGACTGAGAGATATCAGATTTTTCGTCATCAATGGAACGTGCCTGACCTCGTTCAATGTGCAGAAGCTACCGTCATGTGTCCTTATCTTGATTGAGCCTGTCCCAACCACCTTGCAGACAGAACTGTTGGCCATCGAGATGCTGCCTCCGTCTACCTGCTCATAAGTCGTGAACCACTCTCTCCTAGGACAGATGTGATAGGATGGCCCAGAAGGCTGCTGGTGAATAGACCGGAAGGCTGTATGTCTGTACTTGTGCCGTTAGCCTTATGCCTTAATTACCTGCTATGAAGGGCCGATCTGACTTCTTCCAGCGACACAGTATCTTTCCCAACAATGAACGATTGAACAAAATTCTCAAACGACATTGGGAGAGATACTAACAGAATCAGGGCAGCATCTTCATCCTCGATCTTCACATCGATATTACGCAATTCTAGTAACAAAGTATTCAATTGCTCTAAATGTTCCCTGAGTTGTGTACCTTCAGCCATTCGTAAACCGAATAGACGTTATTTCAGAAGCAGCTTGTTGGTTAGAGATTTTGTCATTTACAAACTCTCCATCTTCAACCACAGACCAGCAGCAGTCTCTTCATTTGAGACCTCCATGATGACGTCATCCGCGAGACACGGCATGATCGTCGAGTGCGCTTTTTCCTCCAGAATCGCCATTTCAGGAGTAACGACGACGTTCTTGTCTTCGACAACGGCGCCCAGAAGCCTTGTTGTTTCAACAAAGCCCGCATCTTGATCTGCCATAAACTGAAATTGTTCCTCCCTGTGAATTTGTCGATTTTCACTTTCAAAGCAGACATCTCGAATTATCCAAAAACACCGATTAACCGAGAGGCTCTGATACCAATTTGTTATGCGGAATTCGAGATAATACGAGAAAATATAAACGCGAAAAATAAGACAACAGATTTACATGGTTCACCAATAAATTGGCTACGTCCACGGGAAGAGGGGGAGCAGTTTTATTATGGAGAGGCAAGAACAGAATACAGAATAGGGTTTGCCGTAACGGGTCCGATTCAAGGCATTCAACAAAGCTCATTTTCACCTACTACAATTATGCTATTTCAATCGAAATAGAGACATGTTAAGTTTGAAGAAAAAATACTATATGTCCTGATATGCTAATAAGACAACAGATCACCAAAAATGCCTCCAATTTTATAAATTAATGAAGAAGCTAAGCATTGATCAAACTCTACTTTGATGTCAAAGTAATATATAGCTACAAATAGTCACCGACTTTACACAATAATTAAAGTAAGTGGAAGAGCGTCACATACAAAAGTGAAGAAAGTTAAACACACTCGAGAACAATAATCACATACAAGTAATAAGCAAAGGCACATTGGAAGAAGAAAAGTTATATTCTAATTAAGAGTTGAGATCAGAGATAAAAAAAGCCAAATTTAATTTGCACTCATCCACACCAAAAATCATTGAGAAGCCATAAATCATTACAAATTTTTGAAGAAATTTAAAATAGGCACTTTAATTTTATGAAGTCACGGCTAGAATTTGAAGGCCACAAAAATAAGTACATAAAATTCCCAAATGATGAAGCGGATAAAATTAAAAATTGAACTTACTAGAAGATGAATCCAAAAATTTGAAATCTGCATGCAATTGCACTATAACCTGTTTATATATAAAAAAAATATGAATCTGATAAGAATCAAAAATCCTACATCAAAGGGGAAATGAGTAGTATTTAGGAGAAAAAATTGTTCATCAAACCCATGTCAAAATATTGCCATCATTTATCATAATGAAAATATAAAAGAACAAAATAAAAAGATTTGCCTAAAAAAGTAGCTAACCTCAAATTTGACGAAATCCAAATAGGAAAGAATATGTATAATTAAACAAAGACAAAAAAGAAGATGAAGAAGCTTATGCAATTATTTATGAAATGGCAGAAATAATGCCATGTAACTGATAAATTGTGTTGGCAACAAAAGCAAAAGACACGTCCTTAAATGGTAGGACAAAGTTAAGAAATAAATGACAAACATATCCTTATTTTGAGATATAATACCAAAAAATGAGAACAAGTTGATACCACATTGGAACTCATGCTTCTAATATGGTATAAGGAAATGGATTATAATTTAGGAGCAAAATTTATTCATCAAACCCATGTCAAAAATTGGCATCATTTATCATAATAAAAATATAAAAGAACAATATAAAAAGATTTGCCTAAAATTGAAAGAGTAGCTAACCTCAAATTTGATGAAATCCAAATGGGAAAGAGCATGTATAATTGAACAAAGACAGAAAAGAAGATGAAGAAGCTTATACATTTATTTATGAAATGACAGAAATCATGTCACGTACCTGATAAATTGTGTTGGCAACAAAAGCAAAAGACACGTCCTTAAATGGTAGTATAAAGTTAAGAAATAAAATGACAAACATATCTTTATCTTGAGATATAATATCCAAAAATAAACAGGTTTATACCACATTGGAACTCATGCTTCTAATATGGTATAAGGAAATGACTAATATTTAGGAGAAAATTTGTTCATCAAACACATGTAAAAAAATTGCCATCATTTATCATAATGAAAATATAAAATAAATGTTATAAATCCATTGAATAGTGGATTGTCCATTTGCTTTTTTCATGAACTTATCCTATCATGTTTCTACATTTTCAAGGTGACATGAATCTTTGTAGATAACTATGTACCTATTAATTGGACATTAACATGGTTACCTTTTGGTTGATTTCTCTACCTATAAATAGAGATATCATTCATCATTGTAACATATGCTTGAATAAGAAGAAAAGTTCTCTTCTTCATCTCTATATCTTGTCTTCTTCTCTTTGTACTTATATTGCTATGAGCTTGATTTTATAACAAGAACAAAATAAAAAGATTTGCCTAAAATTGAAAGAGTAGCTAACCTCAAATTTGATGAAATCAAAATGGGAAAGAACATGTATAATTGTACAAAGATAGAAAAGAAGATGAAGAAACTTATACATTTATTTATGAAATGAAAGAAATAATGCCAATAACAGATAAATTGTGTTGGCAACAAAAGCAAAAGACACGTCCTTAAATGATAATACAAAGTTAAGAAACAAAATGACAAACATATCCTTATCTTGAGATATAATACCTAAAAATAATCACGTTGATATCACATTGGAACTCATGCTTCTAATATGGTATAAAATAAATAAAAATATATATACTATTTCTTCCGTTTCAAAAAATGATTCTATTTTCTTTTTAGTCTGTTTCAGAAAAAATAACTATTTTTTCTTTTTTGGTAACACTTTAAATTTAACTTTTCATGTGACATGTTTAAAGACCACATTAAAGAAAAATTTGCTTCATTAACATAAGCTTAATTTAGAACGACAAGATTAAAAAGTATTTTCTTTTAACTCGGTTTCAAATTAAAGTAGACATGGTTTCTAAAACCGAGTAACTAATAGTTATTTTTCTTTGGTAACAATACCATTTCGTACACTAGTAGGCAACGGATTATCCCTTGGAAATCCAAATAAGCACCAAAATTTTTATCCATATATTCTGTGGCGTTATCAATTCAAGATTTTTATAGCTTCAAATCATCTGGAAGCAAGAGAAAACCTCACTTTTTGCCTTGACAATCAGTAAAGGTAAGAAACCATCGACTTTTCAAACAAAGAAGCAGTTTAGTAGGACGAATCAAGGGGAACAGCAGTTTCATGCTTGCTAACTAATGATTTTGTGATTCTTGGGTTATAATGAGTTTTAATTGGTTTGTTAGATTGAAAAAATGGAACATGCAAAAGTTTTTGTTAGTATTCTCTCCTATATGATTTTCTTCTCTTTTTTTTTTTGACGCTTTACACAAATTTGATCCTCTTTTTCCAGAATATAGTCTGTACAGGATACTGACAAATAGTTGGGGGTTTAAGACATATTTCATGAAATAGATATTAAGCAGCAAAAGAAACTAAACTCTGGTTTGTCCGAAATGAGCTTAGAAAGTCATGATCATATTCTCCAAAGATGCCCTAGTTCTGAAATTGTTGCTGATTCCAACTGCAATTGGGAGTATAAAATATGTGAATCTCCTAATGTTGTTCAGCCAAAAGCAGTTATAGATCAACATCCTCCGAAAGCAAGTGTTTGTGCTTTCTGTTATTCTGCTAAGACCACAGAGGTGAGTTATCAGTACAGGGGAAACTTCAAGCTATCAGCTGTCTTGCTTTATACTTTTCTTAATACTCACTCCACTGCTATCATTTAGAAAGTTATCTAATT